CCTTGTTCGATATCTCTAATTAACATTTGTTATTACGAAAAAGAAGCCTCCTTAATCACCTGCCCGAAACCCAATTAGTTAATTTAACCACCGCTAATTTCGGACCGCGAGACTCAACCCGCTCGCTATACTTACGATACCAAAGCCGCCGCGTGAAGAGACAGAGGACCTGCGGAATCCGTGGTCGAATTCATTATATAATTTCGCGAATTTCGGAAATTTTTTATTTCATCTGTCTGTTCCAGGGGAGAGCGAAGAAAAAAAAGTGCAGACCGAACAAGCGAAGATTTCGTGACGTATTTCGCTCGTGTCGTCATCGACGTTCATACCGAAACCGAAGCTGACGTCACGGCACCCCGTTGACAAAAATAGGCACCGTTTTGAGCAATTGAAAATCAACGCGCAAAAAAGTGCACGTGAATCGAATATTGAGACTGAATTGAAAAAAAAAAATTTTTTTATCAACAGCCATTGTCACATTGGCGAAAACCAACGTGGATACGTGGACCTGATAAAAAAAAAAAGAGTCAAACTAAAAAAGCATAAGGCGATCCAAAACGTAAGGCAACGATCACACTGAATCCATCGTGAATAATAGCGATCCTCGAGGCGCGATGAAACTCGATAAAAGTGCCACCCGGTACACGTGAAACTCCAAGTGGTAATCATTCAACGGAACATCAACCACCGGACTCAGCTACCATTCGCCTTATTAACGTGTCCCGAACGATAATGGCGAACGCCAGACGCCACGGCCTAGTTGTCTCGGATGAAAGAGAAAAACAACGACGCTTCAGCCCTTGCGTAACCGGTTATTTTCTTTAGCGCAAAATCCTAGCGCCAACGGGCAGTACACGAGGAGCACGGACATTCGGGCAAAACAAATAAGGCGAACCCACAACCGAGCCGCCGACCCTGGAATCATGAAAAATTTCACGCGATAATTTACGAGACAATACAAAATGTCAAAATGAACCCAAAAAAAAAAATTTCTCATACGTTACCCATACGTATTACATACACTCAACGTAATACCCGATCCCTATAAATAGCACGTAACACGTGTAACTGTAATCCTGTACGGATAAAAAATGTACTATAAAAATATAACGACCGTCTTCCTACAATTGCAAATTCGATGGCTATGCCGCTGCGTTAAAGTCAAAGGTACCATATGTGATTAATGACAGAATCCCACACACGTGAATTTGCATGTTACACCACGTGTACACGTATATACCAGCATGTCATGATATACGTACAAAGACACTATAGCGTCTCTGCCATATGCTTCCATATACTGTCACCCCCATGTGCCTTTCCCGTCCCTTATTTCCACATAAGCCTCAACAGTCCATCGTACGCGTACCGTGCTCCACGCTACAGTACATTTCTCAGACTCCCAGTCTATTTGTCCGCCTCTTTCGCTCGTCCTTTCCTCCCTTTCTCATTGTCCCTTCTCTGCCTCTCTCTCGCTCAACCCGTCCATCTCCGACCTCCCACTCGGAAATCACAGGAGTCAGACTGTCCCTCGGACTGATGTGAAAGGCCCTGAGGCGTATCCCTCCTATCTTTCACTCTCCCTACCGAAAACCGGTTTTTCACGG